ACAATAAAGTAAAGGGGGGTTGGGTTTTGGATGAATTTAAAGTAAAATAAGTAACTAAAGACTTAAGACAGATTTTGGACGAATTTGGGAAAAAGTATGGGTGATTAGCTAGCTAGAAGGTCCTTACATTGAAATCAAAAGATAGATTACACCTAAGAATGATCCAGCAATCAAAACTTGAATAGCAAGCATTCCAAGGGTCCTCATTCTTCTCTTTGTTGCGGCACAAGGGATGGGTGAAGGTTTGGATGGTGTATTGTATGAAAGATTGTGTATTTAGAATGGGATGTGTTGATGGATGAAAGCTGCGACCAAGAGTGTTTCTGAGTGTATTTGTGATGAAGAATGATTGGTGTTAATGGATGGAATATGGCTGAAAAGCATGAATGGTAGACAATGGATGTGGGGTGGTGTGGATGAGTGATGAATCCCCCCAAATGGTACGGCAAAAAGTACTTTAAATAGAGATAGAAGAAACCATGGCAGAGGTTAAGTAGGAGTGCAGTAGATCCTAGAGGGAAAGGGAAAAAGGATATGCAGCAAGGGGACATGGATGGAGTGTACGACAAAAGAAAGTGTGAAAGGTTGTTGTGACACAAAGTGAAAGGTTAGGGGACAAGGATTGAGACATATGGCAAAGGAAAGAGTGAAAGGTTGTTGTGACATAAAGTGAAAGGTTGCTGCAACAAGGGAACATGGGTGGAGTGCATGGCAAAGGAAAGTGTGAAAGGTTGGTTGTGTGACAAGGAAAAGGGAAGGAAAGTGGAAAGGTGGTGGAATGGCGCAACAATGAGATAATGAAGGGGACAAGGATAATGTGCACGGCAAGGCAAGGGAAAGGTAAGTTGATGCATCCTTTGTGGCAGGGATTGTCCTTCTAAAAACATGTAATTAAGTGTCCTAAAGTATTTAGAACACCCCTTTGCAGCTGGAACATAGGTGATTTAGGATTAGGAAAGGTTTAAGACAAAACAAGGAAACTTTGGCTAACATTCCTTCTTTCTTGGGTGTATCTTTAACTTCCTTTTCTTGAATTAATTTATTCATAACTTCAGCATAATCCTAGCCTCTTTTGGTCTTCAATTTCATCCATCCACCTTGCTTCATGCATGTGATATCCATTCCAAACCCAAAAGTGCTCCAAAATGCACCAAAAAACACTTTCTTACAACTTTAGCCCATTGGACCTACAAACACACGAAAATAGCTTAAAATACTAAAATAACTATGAACTAACAACATAAATGCAAGAAAACAAGCTAATCAAGTCGCATAAATATGCTCCTATCAACTTGTGCATCCAGTTTATAAGTGTAGAAGGTCTGGTCTTATTGACATTGATCCCGAAATGAGCAAAATCCAACCAGTTAAGCTTTTCCAAAATCTGATCACCAGACCATTCTCTAGGTCTGAGTTGATCCTCTTTTTCCCTGTCAAACTCTTTATCCTTTTCCCGCCACTTGTGGTCTCATGGTAACCATCTTTGATGACCATGGTAGCAAACTTTTTCGGTGTGCCAACTAGATGTTACATCTTCCTTGCATACATAGCCTACCATATAACCCCTAGTGCTCCACCTAGAAACCATTGCATATGCAGTGAAATCATTCACATTCCACATCACTGCTGCCCGCAAAGTGAAAACCTTGCCAATACACTTATCGTATATGCGCACACCATGTGTCTATAAATCCTTTAGCTCATCCACCAACAGCCGTAAGTATACATTGATTGACCTACCAGGATCCTCAATTATTAATAGTCATCATCATGTATTCTTGTTTCATACATTTCCATGGTGGCAAATTATACAAAAATCGGCCAAGTACTGTGGTGTTGGTACCCCGAACAGATTGAATTCGTCAGTGGCAAGTCCCAATCTAACGTTCCGAGGATTAGCAAAAAAACCAGGGAACGTTCGATCGAACTCTTTCCATGCTTCACCATCTACAGGATGCCTTAGGACATTGTTATCTACTCGCTTTTCGTTATGCCATCTCATGTCAGTGGCAGTATGCGTAAACATATACAACTGCTGCAACCCAGGCTTCAAAGGTAAATAACGCATGACTTTTTATGGGATCTTCATCGATCTATTCTGAGATGTCATTTTGAACCTCGACTTATTGCATATAGGGCATTTATCCAACGCTTCATTCTCCTTATAGGATAATACACAATTGTTTTTGCAAGTGTGAATTTTTTTCATAACCCAATACGAAACCATTCAACACCTTTTGAGCGTTTCTATGGCTTTCATCAAACAATTGTCCTTTGGTAGCATTCTCTTGAAAAACCCCCAAAAAATAATCAAAACACTGGTTCGACATACGATACTTTATTTTCCCGTGCATTAGTTCTATAATAGCTGTGAGAACGGAAAATCCCTGACACCCCGGGTATAACTCTTGGTTGGCATTTTTTTAATAATTTTTCATATTGTTCGAATTCTCCCCTATCCATTGTTGTAGGCACGTCATCTTCCACTTCCTGATTGGTATTTGTCGATGCAAATGGAAAAGGTTCATTTAAGATTTCCATGACTTGTTCATTAGGATCCATATTAGGTTCAACATTGCCTACTGTTGTCACGTTTAAAGACGAAGCATTGTGTAATTGTTCCCCATGATGATTCCAAATATTATAGGTCTTCACCATTCCATTCCTTACTAAATGAAATCGAACAATTTCAAAAGTTTCCCTTAACGTGTTGTTACACCTCCTACAAGGATACCGGATTCTAGTTGCACCCGTGTTGTGTGTACGTGCAAAGAATAAAATCCTCAATTCCGTTCAAGTATTTGTTGGCGCATCAGTTCGGGTTATGCATCCACGTTCTGTCTATCATTCCTGCAACCACAATAATAGTGCAACAATCACAACAACATCTACATGATTTTCTCACCTTATGCCTCCAGTAAAGGTCCTATCCCATTCAGGAATGCAAAATTATGTTACTTAATTTACAGCTACTTCGGATTAGATTTCGATGTGGAGAAATTTCGCCAACATCTCCTTACATTTCTTCAAGTGCACGACTTAGATATGAAATACCTATGTGCCACCCAAAGAACGTACGGAGATGACACCAAAATTCCCATGATCGAAACTTAATCCTTTAACCGTAAACTACGTGGCGTAACTTTGCATTCCTAAACTGTCCAAATAATGGGACAATTCAAGAATCAATTGGACCGCAATCATGCTTTCGCATCCATGCATGACATCCAACTAATCCTCAAATGGGAAACTAAGTTTTACTAAAAAAAACAAGTACGAAGTTAATTACAATTAACTCCGTACATTACAACACATATTTGTATGTCAAATACAAATTTGTACATATACAATTCAACATTAAACATAATTATAACATAAAAATTAATATAATTTAACAACTTAATATAAACAAATTTCACAACATAATTTAAATATACTTTAACTAATTCATATATTTTTTAAATAATTGAAGAAAATACCTTCCAAATCGTTATCCACCGCACGCTAGTCACACACAATATCCCTATACACAACGAATTTTGCGGTGTTAGTATGAAGTGATATTGATTATTTTAAATGAAAATAAGAAAAATATAACTCTTACCAAACACAACGAAATACGTCAATCAACCTAGAGATTTAGATGGACGAAGTTTTAGAGGAAGAAATTGCGAGAAAATGGGACCGACGGATCCCAAATTGAAGAAAAATGAAGGGAAAAATTGCAAGGGAGAAATCTGCATAAAACTGCATTTTTGTCCCTCTGCAACTAATGTCAGGTTATCAAGATTACTTTTGGAAGAACCACTTTGTGCGACGAACATAATTCGTCGCTCAAGTTTCCTTCTATCGATGAAACATTATGTTCGTCGCGCAAGTATCCTTTTTTTTTTTGTTTTGCAAAATTCTCTTTTTCATTTCCTTTATAATTTAATAATGTAATCTATTTGCGCGTCAATATTGATCGCGCAAGTTACTTTTTTTTTTCGATTTTCTTTCTTAATGTAAATTTGATTCTATCCAATTAAAATTATCAAACCAAATTATATATTACCAAAACATTTATTAAAACTAATTTATTAACCAAAATATATATTATAACTAATGTCAACTTGTGCGCACTCTGCAGCCCGTTGTACATCGAACTTCCACTTCGAAACTACTTCTTGAAAAGCTCATCCACATACTTCCGCTGTTTCTCATCGGTTTCATCAACATCCTAAACAACCTGTAATGGCAATAAAATTAAATTAAATATCGCAAAAATATTATTTTTAAACAAAACAATTACACATTCTTTAATATAAACTTATTGATAATTGTTGCACCATGAAGTTCTTCATGTCCACAGGCACCATTTTCCAAGAGTTAAACTTGATACAACACTTCTTCCGCACCAATCCCCTTATATCGCAAATAAGTTCGCCGTAAGCTTCAGCCGATCTTTTGTCAGCAAACGCTTACATCAGTACCTTTATAATGTCACCACAACTTTCTTCATTTTTTTTCCTACCACAAAAATTAAAAATGTAATAGCCTATTAAAACAATAATTTCAACCATATCAAATGTAAAACAATTAACTCAACAATAATTTTCTTTTTTACCTTTCCCTTCACGAGAGCCTTCTTCCTCCCAACCTTTCGTTGACTCTAAAGCCGAATCTTTCATCATTTGATATAAAACATTTGCAAAATTATATATACTAAAACTCAGTTGATGAACACTGTTCATTAACAGTGATTTTACGTTTTAGCCCCTGTTTTTCTGTTTGTTTGCCCTTTTATTTTTCGATCTTAACAGTAAAATGACAGTTTTGCCCGTTCTTCCCACGCGTCAGTCATCGTTGAGCTCTTCACTTCAAGAGTCTTCTTTTAGGTTTAGCCTTTTCTTTGTACTGGTGATTCTCTGATTTCGTCTCTTCGTCTCGCCCTCTGTTTTTTCTCAAATCCTCCATTCCTCTCAAATATTCCGTTCTTTTTTTCACAAAATATTCAGGAGAAAGTTCCTGATTTTCGTGTTTTAAGGGATATAATGATTTGGTGTTGTTTATCTCAAACAGCGGGCTTGCAGGTAAAATGTTAAGCTTTATGTCCAAAGCGATCTTTCTCTGCATGCTGACTGTGTGTTGATTTGAAGGGGTGGTTTAGTGAATGGGTGCTTCTTATTTTTGGCCTTTCTCTATTATCATATATGTTTCTCTATTCTCAGGTATCAGATCATTCGAAACAAAAACATTTTAACTTTATTTTTGCAGGTTAATGTTGGGTTTGAGTCCAACACGATATACACTTGAACAGAGTAGAGTAGAAGACAGTATGCAAACATGATTTAGGACATAGTTTACCTAATTGTAAACACTCTGAAATATTATTAGTTATGAACATCCAATTTGAATCCCCCACATGCTAAATTAGGTACTATTAAATTAGTTTTATGTCTTTTTTTTATTTGAAAGCTGCTTCTTATTTCTCCGTCTTTATTAAGATTCTGGGGTGTGCTTTGGATTTGCTACATATGGTCATATTTTTTGTCATTGGCTTTTTGTTCTGCTTAGTTTTTTTTAATTGAGTGTTTTATCTGGTATTTCATTTTGTTTTGTTTATTTGTTTCCTTTTTATGTTTAAATGTTTTTTGTTCTTTCTAAATTTGGGCTTCTGGGAAATTCTTGCTCACTGTTTGGATTCCAAGAAAATTTAGGTGATGTCCAGTAATATTCACATCCTGAAAACTCAGTGAAAATAGATACCAATTTATGTGCAGCTGAAAATTTTGTTATCTGATTCTGTTCTAAATAACATGATTTATTTGTTTTTTAAAATTTTAATTATTTCGTATTTATTTTGTGATTGCAGATGTTTAAATGATGGAGAGGTTCGCAAAGCTGTTACTCGGAGGAGACATGTCTGGATGAGGGAAAGGTGTCTACACTGCCCTTGCTATCTCAAATGCCATCACCAATCTCTCTGGTTAGTCACATTCCTCTTGGAATATGCATATTCTTATGTGATGTTGGCTGATACCTTGGTGAATCAACTTAATAAAAAATGTGAGATGGGCAAATTGAAAAGTCTACATTCTTCTAATATGCATCCTTTAACATATGTCAGTTTTAATTATTGATGAGCAATTGAAAATTTAGTTTTTCTTCTCATGGTACACTTACATTGGTAGTTCAACATATGTTTGTTTTTAACATATCTTATTAAATGCATTTGAGAATCGATTGAAGAAACTATTCAGTTCTTTTAGCAATTAAGAACAAGGTAAACATAGTTGTAAATATGTGTAAATGAGATAGGAATTTTGATGAATTTATGCTTTTTCCTCTGTTTTTCAGTGTTTTCAGGCATTGAAGCTAAATATGGAGAGGGTTTTGAGACTTTTAGACCTATTGGACCTCTCAAGGTTTGCGTGGTAAGGAGTTTATGGAGTTATACGTATAGTAGGCATTATATTTTATGTTCTATTGAATTTAATTTAATGGTTATACTTTATGCTCCTATGAGTTATTACTGTTATGTTTACTCTGAGTAGGATTTGTTGAACGACAAACTGCAAGGAGGTTTTCTTAAACGAATATGATATGCTATGAAACCGAATGAAGCTTACGGTCTTCTATTCTCTTTTGTTAATTTCGTGGTAAGTTTCTATAACACTGATTAGTTATGTCTTCGAGGTTCTAATGGCTAGAAACGCTAATGTAATGAACTATGGAATATTGTAATAGTTTATGGTCAATGTGATCCCATATCTGTTTGATTGAAATATTGTTCTATAACAGGTTTAAACTTTGTTTTTCCAATACCTTATCACAAAATAATTCCACCTTGGACAAATTACAAGGTATGCTGCAACATGTGTTTTGATTAATTGCATTCAAATTGATACTGCTTAAGAATGCATTTGAACATGTTGAATTTCACGCCCGCAGCATCGCGCGGGCAATATTGCTAGTATAATAAGGTTCTGAAACTGTGTTTATATGAAACTCGACACACTTTGAGCGACGAATCCTTGGTTACGCTAGGTTGTTATAACTGCCCGCTGTAAATGCAAGCATTTAATGTGTGACTGATAGTCTGACCGTGTTTTGTGAGACGATTACAGTTGTTCGTCACGCAAACTAATTAAAATCTTAAGTAATTACAAACAAATATTTAGTTATAATATTTATTCTACAAATAATTAAAACCTTAAATAAATTGAATTAATTCATTCAATTATTTAAAAACTCAAACAGGAATTAAAGCCTAATTAAGTCCAAATACATAACTTATAAAAAAATAAAAAATAAAAAAACCTTAAATTTAAATAGTGTCCTCAAAAACATAAATTTAAAACTACTATTTTGATGGTGCTCCATTCTGCTCGACGTCATGACCCCACCGGTTGTAACCTCCCTCCAACGCAGCCTCCATCAACTTCATCAACTTTTCGTTCTTATCATCATCAAGAGTATACTTACACTGTTACATATATATATGCAAATAATTAATTCCAACATATAACAAAAAAAATTCACAAAATTAATTCTTAATCCATCAACAGCATACTTACTAATTCATCCATCACGACCTTCTTGACATTGTCAGGCACATATGTCCAAGAACGCCACTTAGCAGTAGGACAATTATTCCCCATGGCTACAGCAATCGCATGCGCGAACTCCACATGTTGTCTAAAATCATATGGGTTGGCGGGCACGCTCTCATCCCAGTTTTTATCCTCCATCACAGCATGAACAGAATTGTGAAGAATAAGGATAGCGGAAGGGCATATTTATAGGAAGGTTAGGGACTTTGCACGACGAATACTTTCACGCAAACATCTACACTAAATACAACATTGATTCCTCTGATTCACATGCACTGAATTGTCGGGGAAAACTGACATTAACTTGCGTGACGAATCCTTCGTCACGTAAAGATTCACCCTTCGTCGTGCATGTTTTTTGCACCAAAAAATTACTCATGGTTTTACTCTCATGGTTTTACTAACTGACTTTGCGCGACAAGTGTATAGTTTTCATATAGCAAAGTTTGTTTACGCAACAAAGTTATGCATCGTGCAAAGCTAACATTTCTTGTGCGACTAATATCCTCTTCCATCTCGCAAAACTATCTTGCACAACGATTTTTTCGTTGTCGTGCAAACATTTGTCGCACAAGTAGTTTTCTCTACTAGTGAAGAATATTGATGTGGCCATTTCCATCATAACTGCTTACATATTTTGTAGTAAACTTTTCTCTCCGTTGTATGTCTCTTCAGATTTTTGATCTACATGCAATTGGCTTGCGACAAGCCTTTTCAACACCAGTCTTCAAAGGGAACTTAACATCAAGGTAATAACGATACTGAAAAATGCTTGGACTCGGAAGTTATTTGAACAGTTTATATAACTGATATAGCTTCCATATGATTTCATTAATTTCTGATCTGTACGAGAGACTGCTTCCACTTACGATAGAGATTTGCGTTATCATTATCGCTAATTTCTTTAGAATTGATAGAATCATAAATTTGTTACACTTCAGGTTGGCAAACTGTCTCCTGGTGACTCTAATGTCCCCACAGGATAAAGCATCAATGGTTGCAAGGGATGCTACCGTTAAAGGTATGGAGGTAATCTTTTAACTAAACCACACCGTTGCTTTCTTCGTAGCATATTAGATCTTGGTATCCCTACTCTTTCATGCGAAGGTTAATGGACTGTCACCTATTTGCATATTTGAAATCTGATCTATTGTGTAAATAACATGGTAAATTGGTATGGTGATATGGATAATCATGACAGTGCTCTTGTATTTTGCAGTCGTCGTTACGTTGGAACATTAAAGAAGGGAGGGACGTTGAATTAAGAAAAATGATTGAAGAATTGTTATTTTACAGGTTCATAGGTTATTTATCACTGTCATATTCCCCAAAGTTTATGTTTTGGACCGTTTAAATAGTTCGAGTTAACTGTAGTTGTGATCTTGTCAATTTTGGCCCATATTATATGGATTCGAAGGGAACAACAAGATTTACAAAAGTAAATGAGCATAATCGAAATTAGGCAAAGTAATCTCATCTAAATAGATAAAATTGAGATTTAAGAGCTTTATGAAAATTTAATATTTGTTGTTTGTACCATACTTCATCACTCACGAAACTAGCGAGCACAGGTCAACTCCGTACCTTCAAGGGCCCATTGAAGAATTCAAGTAGAGGCACCCATGCAGAAGCACATGAGTTCCTCTCCAATCAAGAGACCAATCACAACGCAAAATGTGACAACATCAGAATAAAACTCCTAGAGACCCATATCAATCGCGAAAGGGAGCCGAAGACTTTCCTCAACTATAAAAGAATACCGTTCTCCTACAATTAATTCCTAATGCCATTATTGTACTTAAACTCGTCATTAGAACTCACTCATAATGATTGTGCTTTGTGAAGTCTAGTTTTATTGTTTGGCTTACCTTGTTAAATGTAATCAATTGTACCACACATGTTCTTCTTAGATTTAGGGTTAAATTGCAACTTTTGGGATCATGCTGCTGGAAATATTACTTCAAAAGCTTAACTTCTCTCATCAAGGGTTTGTTCATTCATATGTATTTCATGTCATTATTTCCAGTTCATTCTGTCTAGTGGTTCTGTGTCGTCAAAACTTTTCATTGCTATCACGCGAGCTGGGCACACACTTTAAGACAACCCACATAAGCCATTTGACTGCTTTTTACCAAAAATGGTTTTTCAACTTTAGATTTTTCCAATTTGTATTTACACATGACAAGTGGTTTTTCTTGTCCCCCGTCTTGTCTAAAACAAAGCCCACTATAAAAATTTAATCTAGGGTTCTTTTCAATTTGGCTAGGAGATTTATATTTTTCTGATTTTCCAGGTCGGCAAATTAGGGTAGCATAGTTTTCGTCATTTTGATCTTTGTTTTAGGTCAAGCTTTTCTAGTTTCAAATCTTTGAGCTGACCGCTTTTTGGATTCACGTTAGTTTCATCTTTCAACTGTTTGACTGCTGAAACCGACTAGCCATCAACTTCATCATAACATCATTTGCATAAGTTGATTTGATTTTGGTGCCATAAGATGAAGAGCTCATGAGGAGCTGCCATTTCTTGAAGACCGAAGGAATCCATCTCCTGAAAGGGAAGGTTGCCCAAAGGTACAAGTTGCTTCATAGATTAGGAACTAGGAATTGAGCTTGTGTGGTTACATTGTAAGAATCTTGATTTCACTAGTGGATTGGACTCAGTGGAGAGTCCCCTGTTTTTAACCCTAGATGTGATTTTTTTCCGGCCAAAAACATCTTGTGTGTATTATTGCCTTCCTGGGATTTATTTCTTACATCTTGTATATGATACATGATCAGCTTGACTTGCATATAGACTTGTCCATACATCTAAGCTTATCAAGGTTTGCATTTATACTAGACTGGACCTCAGTTAACTAGGGACACTTCTCTAAACCTAGTATTTAAATTGATTATTTCCGCTACTGGTTAATGATAGACGCATATTTATGCGACTTAGTTAACTAGTTTTCTTGCATTTACGTTATTAGTTCTTAGTTATTTTAGTACTTTAAGCCATTTTCGTGTGTTTGTAGGTCCAAAGGGCTAAGGTAGCAAGAAAGTGCATTTTGGTGCATTTTGGAGCAGTTTTGAGCTTGTAATGGATTACATATGATATGAGCAAGATGGATGGACGAATTTGAAGACAAAAGAGGCTAGGAACATGCTAAAAATCTGGTGAAACAAATAAAAGTTGCAAGAAGGGATAAATTTCTAGAAGGATTGGCCAAAACTTCACTCAAAACCATGCATACCCCATAAAATTCATCAATGCCGTGGCCTTCCCTTTGTTTTACTTCCACCAGATTTTTTTAGTGATGATGCAATGCCTATCTCACTATGACATGTGAGTGGATGATGCAATGCTTAGCTCACCATGACATGTGAGTGGATGATGCAATGCTTAGCTAACCATGACATGTGAGTGGATGACTCAATACCTAACCCACCAACAATTCCCACTCTTTGCCATGCTCACCTACTCAATTCCACCAACATTTTGTGTTAAACAAGTCCATCCTCTTCCTATAAATACCATGGCATCAACCTCATTCAAATCATCCAGAAATTAACCATTCTCCAAGCCTTTCCTTGCCTTTCCTACATATCTAAACCCCTTCCCATCCATTCCTCCAAATAACCAACCCTTCAACATCATTCCAACCTTGTTGTTGCGGCAAAGAGAAGGAGAAAAGTCCTTAGACGCACTTGCTATCCAACATGGATCGTTGGAACGTTTAGGTGCTTTCTTTCCTTTGTTTTTCAATGTTTAAATTTGTTTATCTTTGTTTTGTAATAATGAGGAACTAAACCCCCCTTGGCTAGGGGGGGATTCGAAACCATGTTAATGCTTGCAATATGATTTGATTACTTTTAATTGCGTTTCATAAGTTATGAATTCGATTTACTTATCTATTTGATTGATAACATGTTTATGTATGTTGATTAGGGATGCATACTTAGTTTGCATGCATAAATATGATGCTAGAGTATAAGGGAATTTCACCTAATCGTTATGAACTTATATTCATGAGTAGTAAAAGTCGCTAGTCACGATTGTGTTAAGTAAATCCTTGGCATAAGTTTCATGCAAATCATAGTAACGAGTGCCTCGTCAATGCTTATGTTTTTCATAGAACTTAATGATTCTTGCTTGTATCTCTATTATGCAATTCATGTAGGGAACTTGT